GCCCGCCGCGTCGCCCCGCCCGCGAAGGCGCCTCCGGAGCGCAAGGCCGCGGCGCCCATCGACGCGCTCCAGTCCCTGCTCCGGCGGCCGGCGCCCACGGCGAAGAAGCCCGCCGCGAAGGCGAAGAAGAAGAAAAAGCGCGCCGCCCCCGCGGGCGGCGACATCCGGGCCTTCTTTAAGAGCTAGCACCGGAAGTCCTTCGGCTTCGGCCAGCCGCCCTTCTTCACGAAGGCGAGGCACGTCCGCGCGAGGCGGCGGAAGAGGGCCGTGTCGTTTTTCGCGCGCGCGAGGCAGGCGCCGCCGTCGCCGAGGGACGCCGGGTCGACGACGCCCGCGTCGAGGAAGAAGCCGCGGAGCGTCGCGTCGACGTCGCGCGGCGCCGCGCTGAAGAGGTTCAGCAGCGCGACGGGCCTCGCGTTTTCCCCGCCGGCCCAGGGCTGGCGGGACGAGACGCAGTGGGCCCAGGCCTGGTAGACGAGCATGTCGAGGGCCGCGCCCGCGTCGCCGAGCGCGCGGGACGCAGCCGCCGCGCACGGCGTCTCGACGCGCCACTCCTCGGGCCGCTCGCCCGCGTGCTTCCGGAGCCGCGCGGGGAGCCACTGGCGCGGGTCGCGCAGCGTCAGGAGCACGGCGTTTCGGCCGTGCGTCCGCAGCAATTCGTAGAGCTGCGCGGCGACGGGCGTGTCCGTCGCGAAGTGCGGCCGCGGCCGGTCCCAGCGCCGCGTGCAGTCGTGGAGCGGCTGGCCGCTGTGGAGGCCCTTGCTGCAGCCGAAGAGGTCCGGGTCGTAGTGGACCGCGCGGTGGCCTGGGCAGGACAAGAGTGCGACATGCCCAACTTCAAAGGCTCCTCTCTCGGCCGTTTTCCACTCGTTTCGGCTGATTTTTGGACGAGCGATCATCTCTCGGAGCGCTCTCGAAGCGGTGGGTGCTGTTTCCGAAACGCGCGCGCGCGGAACACTCACGTTGAAGCGACGTTGAATCACCCTTGTCCTGCCCTGGCGGTGGCGCAGCAGCTTCGCGACGCACGCGACGAAGGTCGTCGCCGTGCCGCCGACGCCCGCGTTCACGAGCAGCGGCAGAGCGCTCGGCGGCCACTGCGCGCTCGGCGCGCGCGCGCAGCGCGTGCCGCCGTGGTGCGCGGCGTAGTAGGCCGTGACGTTGCGCGCGCCGCCGTAGGCGTCGGCGGCGCCGGGCAGCAGCGGCGCGAGCCGGCGCAGCGACTCGTCGAAGGCGTCGACCGGGCAGAGCTCCAGCGACGTCGGCGCGTCGTCGAGGGCTGCGCAGAGTGCTAAGAGCGCGACGCAGCGGCCGATCGTCGCCGTCATCGCGTGCTCTCGTGGGGCTGCTCATGCACCATCGCAAGGGCGGTCCTCAACTTGTCGATGGTGATCTGATGGTGAAGAAGCAAGAAGCCGATGGCCGTGCTCTAGGCCTCGCATTGGTTGCTCTCCCGACCCAGAGCCCGCCGGTGTAGCGCTTATGGCTGCGCTCTCGGCTTCGCAGGCCGACCCAGAGCCCGCCGTCGTCGAGGACGACGACGACGCGTCCATTGCCGACACGCCCGACGACATCGCCGCAGCGCTCGAATCTCGCGGCTACGCCTACGTCGCGCTCGACGCGACGACGCAGCGCCGCGTGCGCGAGCTCTTCGACGCGTCGCGGACCTTCCACGCGTCTCCCGACGACGTCAAGCGGACCTGCCACCACGCGCGCTTCGAGCTGAAGAGCGGCGGCTGGTTCCGGGCGGGCGAAGAGCCCGTCTACGACGCGTCGGACGCCGTCGGCGCGGCGTCGCGCGTCGAGGACTTCTGCGTCGCCGCGGGCGCGCAGGCGGACCCGGCGAGCCAGGTCTGGCCCGACGACGGCGGCGCGCTGCGAGACGCAATATTCGCCTACTTCGACGCCGCGCGCGACGGCCCGTCGCGCCGCGTCCGCGCGGCGTTGCGCGGCCGGCTGCTCGCGACGGCGCGGCGGAAGCGCCAGCGGCTGCGGACGGGCCTCGATCCGGAAGAGGCGGGCGACATGCTGGCCGCGTCCCTCGCGGAGACGCCGTCGATGCTCCGCCTCCTGCGCTACCCGGCGGGCGCCGCGGGATCGCTGTCGGCGCACACGGACTTCGAGGTCTTCACGGCCAGCGCGCACCGGGCCTCGAGGTGCGCGTCGACGGCAAATGGCGCCGCGCGCGGGCCTTCCCCGACGACGCCTGCGCCGTGGTGTTGGCGGGCGACGCGCTCGAGTTCTGGACGAACGGGAACGTCCGCGCCGCGCGGCACCGCGTCCGGCCGGCGGCCGCGGCGGCGCCGCGCCACTCCATCGTCCTCTTCCACGCGGCGCGCGACGACGCGGACCTCGCGCCCCTGGCGCACCTCGTCGGCCCCGGCGGCCCCTGCGCGCGCTACGTCGCGGCCAAGGACGACGCGGACGCGCACGACGGGGCGCCGGGGACGCTCACGCAGCTCCGCCACCTCCTCCGCCGCGTCGCCGCCGCCGAGGCCAACGGCACGGCGGGCGACCGGGCGAGCGGGTCGTAAGGGTGGTCGACGTCTGCTCCGCCCGGCCCGGGCTGGTCGGGAGCGGCGCGTCGTCGGTGCCCCGGCCAAGCTCAGCTCGGCCTCGCGACGCCGAGCCCGGCATCGAGGTCGAGCTGCGTCGCGCGCGCTGAAGACGCCGCGGGGACGCCGCCTTACGCCCGCCCCCGCCTAAAATCACCCGGGCCTCGCCCCGTTAGACGCCCCCTCGACGACCATGGCGGAACCTGAGCGGGGCATCTGCGTCTTCGACCTGGACCACACGCTGCTCCACATGCTCAAGGAGGAGGACATGCCCGCCGAGGTCGGCGACGTGACCGAGGACGTGGTCGGCTTCAGCTACCAGGGCGTGGACTACAGCATCGCGCTCCGCGTCGGGACGACGTCCCTCGTGAGCGAGCTCCAGAAGAAGGGCATCGACGTCGCCGTCGCCACGTGCAACCTCCTCGGGGACCAGGCGGGGACCGGAGTCCCCCCCCCCCCCGACGCCCCGGCCGCCCCGCGCGCGCCCGCCCGCGCCCGCGCCCTTTCCGACCCGCCCCGCACCCCAGGTCGTCGAGGCCATCGCGGACCGGTGCGACGTCTTCAAGGACATCCCCGTCCACGTCATCGAGTCGCGCGACAAGGGCGGCAAGTCCCTCAAGGACCTCGGCCTCTCGCGGCCCCGCGTCGTCATCTTCGACGACTCCATCAACGTGCGCCGCCCCGCGTCCCCCGCGCGTTCGCCGCGCGCGCGCGCGCGGAAGCGTCGGAAATACCCGAGGCCGACACACCGCGCGGCCGCCCGACGAAATCCCCCCCCGCAGGCCTGGGTCGCCGAGGACCAGGAGTTCGTGTTCACGGCGGACCGCTTCGACGTCAACGCCATGGCGTCGGCGATCCAGGCGGACGACGACGCGGGCGACGAGGCGGTCGACCGGGAGCTCGGCTATTTGACGAACATCCGGGAGGCGGTCATGGGCTTCTTCGCGCCGCCGACGATCGACTGGAACGAGGGCCTGGACTCGGAGCCGGGCACGCCGCGGGAGCCGCGGCCGGAGCGGTCGAGCTCGTTCTCGAAGGAGTTCCACGGGTCGCCCGCGGCCTCGGCGTCGAGCGCGCGGCTCTCCGAGGCGCCCGGCGCGGACGGCGACGCCCTCTCGGACACCAACAGACCGCTTAAAGACCGGTCACTAAAACGGCCGGCCGGGGACGAGCCGCCGCCGTCCCCGGACCTCAGCAAGAAGCCCCGGACGACGACTGATGCGGATGCGACGACTGCGCGACTGGATCTGCCCTCTCTCGTGCCT